ACGTAAAATTTAAAATTATTCTAAACTCAGACTCGCTAATTATAAGGCGAATCAGACACCATTTTTTAACAAATTGTGACCATTTACGTAAAATTTTGCATACGCTACCGACTAATTATACTATTTGGTAAAGAAAATCCAGCTGCTTGTGTTTTCAAAGTCTTCCTCATTTCCAGTTTCAATGCCTGTTGACCCCTGCATGGCTCATCATTATTCATTATATTCATGGCCAGCTCATTCCCATTTATTGCCTCTTCTCCCCCTCTACTACGTACCTCCACTTCAAATTTCAAACTTTTTTCCTCTATAATTAACAACTGTACCCCTTGGTAAAATATTACTGATTCTACTGCATTTGCTTTTTCCATTCATTTTAACCCAAGATTACTTCTTCTTTACACTATCCAAAATGGTACTTGAATAATTCTGCTGTAAGTTCCTTTCCGTTCGTTGTTTTCTTTGGCAAATTTTGTTAACAACAACAACAATCCAGTGTAATCCCACAAGTGGGGTCTGGGGAGGGTAATATGTACGCAGACCTTACCTCTACCCAAATTTTGTTAAACACAAAGCATATTATGTGGAACCAATCTCATTCTTACTACTTTCTCATACCCAAAGTTCTGCTAATAATACAACAGGTCTTTTAACTTCTATATATATATATATTGGGCAAGTTATATTTAGAAGAGTACTTTAACTGCCTTCATAATCATATCAAATGTAACGTAAAATTTTCTACTTTTCACCGCATTGTTGATTTCTTAATGTTTACAACTATTATGTCTCAATCTCAAATTAATTCCATTGACTAGTATTTTGATCCCCTTTATTGACTAGATATACACTTTTTGAAAGTTTAAAATATGACTCTTTCGTAACGAACGCAGAAATAGTCCACTCGACAAAGACATGACATGTGTAGTGAAAATGGCAAATTATGGATTTGTGAATTTGTCATTGTTGAGATTATTGATCTGTCATGCACCATATTATTCTTTCATTCTTTCATACTTGTATTGGTCATTAGGTAGTTAGTTAGTATTCGTTAATTGTACAACTACTATAAATAGGACATCAATTTTGTATTTTTTTTCTTTGAGTTGCAATAATGAAATCAGCTCCTTTCTTTCTAGAAGCTTCATTCTTTTATCTGTTTTTCTCTCTCTCTATTGTGCGATCTAATCCGCCATTAAAGCTCACACTGAGCTCACCTCTTTCTCTCTGATTTTCCCTAAACTTTCACATGGTATCAGAGCAGGACAACGACCTGAAGCTTCATCTCCTTTCGATTTTTCGTTCCTCTACTCACAAAGTCAGAAATTGACCATTGTTACTCGTCTTTTGGTAATTAGGGTTCTTGTGTGGAAATCGATCAATTAGTCGACTGTTCCTAGCAATTCATCTTCATCAATAACTATTTCATCCTAGTCAATTCGAATCATGGCCGGAGAAGACGAAGTCCCGGTGACGAACAAAACCCTAGATTCAACAAGTCCACTATACATGCATCCATCGGAAAGCGCTGGATCTATGCTAGTTCCGATAGTTTTGACGGAACCGGTTATAGATCATGGAGAAGAGGAATCCTCAGAGCACTCTCCATGAAAAATAAATTAGGGTTCATCACCGGAAAATGTAAGAAGCCAGACTCTGATTTTGCTAACTTGATCAATGGGAGCGATGCGATGATATGGTAACTTCATGGATCTTAAACTCGCTGTCTAAGGACCTAGCGGACAGCTTGCAATACGTCAATGATGCTAAAGAGCTTTGGCAAGAACTAGAAGACAGATAAGATCAAACTAATGGCGCCAAGTTGTATCAACTGCAAAAAGAGATAAATGATCTAAGCCAAGGAAGCCTAGACATCACTAGATATTATACAAAAATGAAGAAACTTTGGGAAGAACTTAACACCCTGAATATTCATGCCAAATGTGCTTGCAAATACACCTGTGGAGCAAGAGAAAACATATATAAAGCTGAACATGATAGAAGATTAATTCAGTTCCTGATGGGGCTCAATGAAGTGTATACTGTCGTGAGAGGGAGTATTTTGATGATGAACCCTCTCCCAACAATTGCTCAAGCCTTCTCTATTCTTATTCAAGAGGAGAAACAAAGGGAAGTTAAACCAAGTAACAGTTTTTCAATGGACTCTGCTGCCTTGAATGTGAGTGGATCAGGAAATAGCAATTTCAGAACTAACTACAATCAACAGGGAAACAACAACAACAGTGGATATAAGGGAAACCAGCTCAATAGCAGACCTAGACCATTTTGTGACTACTGCAAGAGGCCAGGGCACACTAAGGACAAATGCTACAAACTTCATGGATTCCCACAGAGTTCCAGGTTCAATAAGGGAAGAAGAATTGCTGGAAATGTATTTGGACAATCAAATGAAGCTGTTGCAGTGAAGGATGATAGGAATGGCCCTCAGGAACAAGATCAGAGTCGACACATGCACAGTCTGACTGTCTGACTAAAGAAAAATATGGCCAACTGCTCACCATCTTGGAAAGCTTTCAAGGAGGAGCAGATAAATCCACAAGCAATTGCATCAATGGAGGAGCTGTGAGCTTTGCAGGTATTTCAGCGTGCTTTACTCATTTTGACTCTAGTAATCATTTGTGTGATAGTTCTAATTCAAATGCTGACACCTGGATCCTTGATTCTGGAGACACAAATCGCATAACACATAACAAATCAATCCTAACTAATGTTAAAACCTTAGTTTACCCATACCTAGTCACCCTACCAAATGGCTACAAGGTTAAGGTGACACTGATTGGTGATGTAATCCTAAGTCCAAAATTCAGTCTCAAGAAGGTCCTTTTTGTTCCTAGTTTTAAATTCAATCTGATATCAGTCCATTCTTTGACAGTTCAACTTGATTGTATTGTAGTGTTCACCAAGTATATTTGTATTCTTCTACAGGGTCCTTCACTGAAGAGGCCACTAGAGATTGGTAAAGCCAAGACTGGTCTGTACCTACACTGTTCAAGCAACTGTAACACTGGTTCAACCCTCTCTAATTCTTCTAGTGCATCAGTTCCATGTTTAACTAATAATGAGGACAAGATAGATTTTTTAGTTAACACATCTAGCTCACCTTCTTCTTCTCAACTAGTTAGCACAAGTAAACTAGTTTCTACTAGTCCTGTTACTTCCAACATGGTTACCCCATTTTATAGTAGTAATAGAAGTAGTTCACTTCCACATTCAGATCACTCTGTAAATAGTTCAAGCAATAAAAATGAGTCTTCTTTGTCTAGTAATTCCTCTACTATAGAACTTTTACTTGATCTTTTGTGGCATAACAGATTAGGACATGTACCTTTTGTCAAAATAAAAGGGATTTCCTCTATACTTGTTGCCTTTGCACCCAAGCAGCCTTTTCTTTGTCCTATCTGTCCAATGGCAAGACAAACCAGGTTGTCTTTCCTAGAAAGAACAACATTGACTACCAAACCCTTTGAACTGCTACATATTGACTTGTGGGGCCCATACCATGTTGCAACACACAATAAATATAAATACTTCATTACCCTTATGGATGATTATAGCAGGTCCACATGGACCCACTTATTAAGCTGTAAAAATAATGCTCTACACACCGTTAAGGCTTTTTTTGCTATGGTAGAGCAACAATTCAATACCAATATCAAAACTATAAGAACAGGCAATGGTCTTGAGTTCACCAGCCTTGAGGCCACTTCATTCTTACAATCAAAGGGCATCATATATCAAAGAACATATCCATATACACCACAACAAAATGGTGTGGTGGAAAGAAAACACAAATATTTGTTAGAAACAGCCAGGGCTCTACTTTATCAGTCAAGATTACCCATGCAGTATTGCGGAGAGTGCATTCTGACCTCTACCTACCTAATAAACAGACTGCCCTCTTCATCACTCAAAACCAAATGTCCCTTTGAACTCCTGTACCAGAAAAAGCCAAGCTACTCTCATCTCAGAGGTTTTGGTTGTTTATGCTTCCCTACCACTCTCAAAACACACAAAAATAAGTTTGAGCCAAGAAATGCTCCCCATGTTTTTGTGGGATATCCCTTTGGGACAAAAGGCTATAAGGTATTAAATCTGGCCATGAAGAAGATAAGTATTTCAAGAGATGTAGTATTCCATGAGAATGTATTCCTATTTTCCATGTTCACTGAGTCAAGCAAAGTTTTTCCCTCATTTCCTCAAATGAAACCATACTTGTCAGATGATTTGTTTTCTTCCAGTGATATAGGTAGTGTTCCATATTCAGCAAGTGATAATGCTCACCATGAAGTGTCACCTGGGAACCTGTCCAGGCCTGAGCCCTGCTCACCCCATCTAACCCTCATAATGATGACTCCAGACCTTCTCACTCATCCTTAGGAAACCAGACATCAAGAAGCTTTCCTGTTGTTGATAGTCCAGGAGGGGTCCCTTTTGGTGCACCTCACAGTCCAACTGTTATAATCCAGGATCAAGGAACTTCAGTCTCAAATCAGAACAGACCCTCTAGAACTTTGAAAATTCCTACCTATCTTAAATAATATGAGTGTACATTTCCCAGACTTCAGCAAACTCATCAAAACCAACCAACCTCTCCAAATGATAGTTAAAGTACACAGTCTTTTTCTTTCAACACATCTGCCCCTAAACTCCTAGATAACTCACCTAATGAAACACATTCCACCTGTCAGTATTTGATAGGAACTGGTCCACATGAATGTGAACCTAGCTTATTTGAGGAAGTTGTTGTAAAGCCTGCCTGGCAAGAAGCAATGAATCAAGAATTCCAAGCATTGTATGCAAATAAAACCTGGGACCTAGTTCCTCTTCCAATTGGAAAGAAGGCAATAAGGTGTAAATGGGTATATAAGATCAAACATAAGGCAGATGGTAGTGTAGAGAGATTTAAAGCTAGATTAGTAGTAAAGGGGTATACACAACAAACTGGGATAGATTAAACAGAAACTTTCTCACCTGTAGTAAAAATGACAACTATTAGGGCTCTAATAGCAACAACAGTCAAGAAGAAGTGGCAGGTCTTACAGCTAGATGTAAATAATGCATTTCTTCATGGGGATCTCCATGAAGAGGTGTATATGGAGATACCACCAGGCCTAGTTGTGGACTCACCAGGTTTAGTGCAAGTTGAACAAGTCCCTGTATGGACTCAAACAAGCAAGTAGACAATGGTATGAGAAATTAACTGAAGCTTTGTGTTCTAGGGGGTACACTCATTCAGTGCTTGATTATTCTCTATTCTATAAGAAGAGTGAAGGCTCAGTAGTGTTTGTAGCTATATATGTAGATGATGTTCTTGTTACTGGCACCCATCTGCAAGAGATTGAGTCCCTGAAAACTTTTCTACACAGTACTTTTAAGATAAAGGACTTAGGGAGACTTCATTACTTCCTAGGACTGGAAATTCAATACACAGAGAAAGGGATTTTAATGTCACAAAGGAAATTCACTATTGATCTTTTAAGAGTGTTTGGATGTATAGATTGTCCTTCTATGACTTCTCCTATGGACCCCTCTGTGAAATTAAAGGCTAATAAGGGAGCTCCACTACCTGACCCTTCTTATTACAGGAAGTTGATTGGCAAACTCAATTTTCTCACTAACACTAGGTTGGACATTGCTTATAGTGTACAACATCTTAGCCAATTCATGAAAAGTCTCAGGGAACCCCATTTGAAGGCAGCATACCATGTCCTAAGATACTTAAAAGGTGATCCATCCTTGGGCATCTTCATCAACAACAATGCAGACTATGGAGTAAATGCATTCTGTGATTCAGACTGGGCTACTTGCTCCAAATCCAGAAAATCAGTTAGTGGGTACATTGTGCTGCTTGGTACCAGTCCTATTAGTTGGAAATCTAAGAAGCAGTCTACTATTTCACTATCCTCTACAGAAGCTGAATATAGGTCCGCTAGAATGGTGGTTGGTGAACTTGTATGGTTGGCAAGACTTCTCAATGAACTTACTGTTCCATTGGCCTTGCCTATCCCCATATTTTGTGATAGCCAAGCTACTTTACACATAGCAAGAAACCTGTGTTCTATGAATGAACGAAACATATCGAAGTGGATTGTCATTTTGTGAGAGATCAACTACAGGAAGGGCTAATTTCTCTTCATCATGTTTCTACTAATGACCAGTTAGCTGACATCTTGATCAAGTCTTTAACAGGGATCAAGTATGCTGCACTTCTCAGCAAGTTGGATGTGAGGTCCTCCCCTCCAACTTGGGGGGGGGTGTATTGAGATTATTGATCTGTCATGCACCATATTTATTCTTTCATTCTTTCATACTTGTATTCATACGTGTATTGGTCATTAGGTAGTTAGTTAGTATTGGGTAATTGTACAGCTACTATAAATAGGACATTAATTTTGTATTTTTCTTTTTCTTTGAGTTGCAATAATGAAATCAACTCCTTTCTTTCTAGAAGCTTCATTCTTCTATCTGTTTCTCTCTCTCTCTGTTGTGCGATCTAATCCGCCATTAGAGCTCACACTGAGCTCACCTCTTTCTCTCTGATTATCCCTAAACTTTCACAAAAAGCATACTTATAATTCTGTTTGGCATAAAGCCTCCAAGTCTTCTTGGGATAGTAACTGACCAATTTACAGCCCTAGAAAGTCTTACACTAATTGCCCGTTTGGCCAAACTTCTAAAATCAGCTTATTTTAAGAAGTGCTTTTTTCAAAAGTACTTTTAAAAAAAGTATTTTTGGTAAGAAGTAGTTTGTGTTTGGCGAATTAATTAGAAAAGTACTTTTGAGCAGTAATTAGTGTTTGGCCAAGCTTTTGAAAACTGATTCTAAGTATATTTTTCTCAAAAGTGCTTCTCAGAAAAGTGTTTGGAGAAAAGCTATTTTTTTCTGCTTCTCCTCAAAATCACTTTTTTTCCTTCCAAAAGCTTGGCCAAACACCACAATTTTTGGCCAAACAGGCTATAACATACTATACCAGTTTAACTTCTAAATATTTACCGCGTAAAGATATTTTTAAATTACCTAAAAAATAATATAGTAATATGTATTTTTAACAATAAATGGCAAACAACTGGCTACAACATATTTGACAATATAAAAATTATTTATATTGTCAGTGTATATAAAATAAGTATTCCAGCCTCTATCCTCGTTTATATGACATATTTTTCTTTTTAGTTTATCCAGAAAAGAATGACACTTTTATCTTTTTTGAAACTATTTAATTTTAGCATCAATATTTTACCGCTACTTGTTGGGACCCTCACTACTTCTCATTTAAATGAAAAACCATATAGAACTCTTTTCACCATATCAAAAATCTTCTCTAATTTTTTAAATCAATACTCAACAACCACCAATCAACACTACAACAAATTTAATTATTAGTGTCACGATCCAATTCCCGAACCTGGTCGTGATGGTGCCTCTCATGAAGACAAAGCCAGCCATTCAATCCAATTGATCCTTTTAAGACAATTAATTAACACAATTATAGTATAAACATGGTTTAATAATATCCAATAGCGGAAAGTATAGATACAATACGGAAAATCCAACCCAACTCAGCCCTAACCGGGGTGTCACAAGTCATGAGCTACTACAGAGTTTACTAAAAATTCTACAAAGTATAGAATTAGGAACAAAGTCTGAAGATATCATAAATGACAGAAGATAAGGGAGAAAATGGGTTTGCGAACGCCATGCAGCTACCTCGATAACTCCGATGAAAACTGAACAGCAGAAAAACTCGCTCTATGCTTCAGGAATACCTGTACCTGCACACATAGTGCAGGGAGTAATGTGAGTATTCCGACCCAATGAGTAATAAATATAAATAATAACTGAAGGTAAGAAAACACGTTAAGGCACACAACATTCTATACAGAAGTAGTGAAATTATTTAAAATAACAATTCAGTGAAACATCATGTGAAATTTCTTTTAAACCGGTAAAACAGGTAATTTGGCAGTACAATGATGAGTAGAAATCTGCCCCTCGGGCTCAATATCAAAACAACAAGTAGAAATCTGCCCCTCGGGCTCAATATCAAAACAACAAGTAGAAATCTGCCCCTCGGGCTCAATATCAAAACAACAAGTAGAAATCTGCCCCTCGGGCTCAATATCAAAACAACAAGTAGAAATCTGCCCCTCGGGCTCAATATCAAAACAACAAGTAGAAATCTGCCCCTCGGGCTCAATATCAAAACAACAAGTAGAAATCTGCCCCTCGGGTTCAGTATCAAAATAATAACTAGAAATATGCACCTCG